AGCGAAGAACGCAGCAAAGAAGGCTGTGGCTGCAGCGAAGGCCGCCCACTTCAAAGATGTCAGTAAGGAACTAATTCAGCGCGATGGGAGAGCGGCACCTCTACCGACTTGCCAAGGCTCGTCATCGTCAGACCGAAGACATCGAGAAATTCCCTGGCGTCAACGACGAGCATGGCCGTCTTTTGATGGACCGGAAGAGGGTGCTCAGGAGATGGCACGACTTCTTTGAGAATATATCAACCGTAGAGCATGCGCACCCCGCCATCCCTTCCGTCTCCGCAGTATACGGTCCCGTACAGGAAGTAGCCGTAGAATTGACAGAAGCGGCTCTCAGAAAGATGAAGTCAGGCAAAGCAACAGCACCTGACGACGTAGCAGCCGACTTATGGAAGGCAAGGTGGTGGAACACTGCGCAATGGTTGACGGATTTCTTCAATCAAGTCGTTGCTGAGAAGAAGACGCGCAAGGGCTAGCAAGAAAGCACGACGATTCCGATTTAGATTTGGAAGAAGAAGGGCAGCCCTGCAGGATGCTCGAGCTACCGTCCGATTCGCCTACTGTCACACAGCATGAAAATCTTCGAGCAATTGTTGACAGGCGTATCCGCGAAATCGTCCAGCTTTCTATCAAATAGTGCAGCTGTGTGGCAGGCTGTAGCACCATCGACGCCATACATGCCGCGCGTCTTCTGCTGGAGAGACATTGCGAGAAGCAAAAACCTCTGCATCTAGCTTTCCTGGACCTAGAAAAAGCATTCGATCGTGTTCCGCGTGAAGTTATATGGCACGCCTTGTGGCAACACGGCGTTTCCGAAGAGCTTATAGAGTGGGTGCGCATCCTGTACCCCACCTCGAAGAGCCGTGTGCGTACACCAGCAGACACTTCACAGGCATTTCCCATCACGGTCGGGGTGCATCAAGGCTCAGCACTCTCCCCACTTCTTTTCGTGGTCGTCTTAGATGCAATCTCACGAGATATTCAGAAACCGTGTCCGTGGACCCTTCTCTACGATGATGATGTGGCGCTGGCCAGTGAAGATAAGAGCGACCTCGAGCAACAGGTACAAGCGTGGTCTGATTGCCTGACAAAGTTCGGACTGACGTTGAACATCAAGAAGACCGAGTACCTGACGACGGATACAAATGAGTCCGATTCCATTAAGATCAGTGGCGTCGAGCTCGCACACACAAGAGCCTTCAAATATCTTGGATCAGAAATTGCGTTTGATGGTGGTCTCAGAGGTAATCTCGTTTGAGTGCAGCATGGGCGAAATGGCGCTCGATGACTGGAATTCTCTGCGACAGGACCATACCTGAGCGCCTCAAATCGAATATTTATCGAAAAGTGGTCAGACCAGTAGCGTTCTACGGAGCTGAATGCTGACCTGCAACCAAAGAAGTCGAAGCCCGTCTTAGTGTGATGGAAATGAATGCTTCGCTGGACGGCCAGCGCGTATGGACCGGATTTGCAACGATGACATACGCAAGAGAGTTGCGTAGCTTCCGTAGTTGATAAGATGCGAGAATCTCGTCTCCGGTGGTATGGCCACGTACTTCGCGCGAAGGCGGACACCGTCCGTAAGACTGCTCTCCAGCTTGAGGTGGCAAAAGGCAAACGACCTAAAGGACGTCCTAGGCAGCGCTGGCTTGACACGCTGCACGCGGAGTTAAAGATAGTTGGTGCCCACCCTGATCAGGCATTCGACCGGAATAAATGGCGTAAGGAAATCAGGAGAGCGGACCCTGCTACAGAGCGGGACAAACGTCAAAGAATAAGAAGAACAAGTTGATTTCTCCTGTTTCACGGACGCTGTAAAGGGGGTGGTCGTACTTGGTCATTTTTCGGAGAGGGGGGTCGTATTTGGTCAGTTCACGGACGCACTACCGTTTCCGAAGCGTGAAAGTGATAGTTTAATTCTGACGACCCCCTCACCCGCTCGATGGAAAATTTTTGGGTGAAAAATGGAAATTTCTTGGGAAAAACTGGAGACGTGGTAGAAGTTGGGAAAATCTAGGAAAGTGGTAGGTAGCATGGAGAGGGGGGTCGTATTTTAGTATGGAATTTGGGGGGTAGGAAAGTGGTAGGTAGCATGGAGAGGGGGGGCAGTATTTTAGTATGGAATTAGTCGTAATTTTCAGAAAATGATCACAACGCGATGGTGTGCTCTGCCTGGCGCTGGCGCATCTTGCGCCAGAATAGCGCCAAACGTCCGGTTCACAAAGGGAATTCAGTAGAAAAAAGATGTGGCTTGCTATAAATGGCGCGGCAGCCAAATGTAAGTGCCATATTCGTGATGAGAACAGTAATTAAAACATGAAGATCAATGCTGAGCAGCAGACTTGCTTAAAGGTATGTGAAGAACAAAGTAGTTAAATAGCACCGATCATGGGGTGTTACTACTGGAATATGCCCATGAATGGTGATTATTCGAGTTGTAGTCATGCGCAGTCATATATGGTAGCGCGTGTAGCGAAACCTGAAAAACGCAAAAATTTCCATCCTGCGGGGAAGTGAACCATCTACCCCACCACCAAGTTCCAACTAAGAAGCCAACAAGTCATGCACTAGGCCATCCCATCAATGCTTACTTGCGCAGCTCAAATGCTGAAGAAACCATTCTATGAAACCACTCACCCTAAAGCACGCAACTCGAAGTAAAACCCCATCTGCGAGTGTTTTTTACCTCGACAATAGTTCTTTGTAAACACCCTTCACTTAGCAACTGGTCAAAGGAGTGATTTACAGCTCATGGGGTTCAAATGCAATCTTTTTCGCACCTTTTTTGGTTTTTCCACAGCCGCGCAGGAAATGAGGTCGGTTTGATTATCGGTGCACTTGCCCCTACATCATGCAAAAATCGTTTCCAAAAAGCGCTCCGCGACCTGAACGACCCTGGTCCCTGTTCAGATCCGCATTAATTTCAATGGTTACTTGTGTCCAATGTTTTCTAGAAGCCACAACCAAGGTGGGAAATCACTTTATCGAAGCCGCACACAGCTAATCACTTTAGCGGTGGTCCTCCATAAAGCCTACCGTATGTTCCAAGGTAAGCTCTTGTGTTTCGGATTTGCGATACCTTCCTAGATGTGCTGATCTACGAACTATTTCTAAGTTTGAAATAATTTATGAGGATTGAACCACTGATCTTCAACTTCCAGGCTCTGACGAAGGCGACTAGCCGACACCTTAGCCCAATAAAGTGATTTACCACCTTGGTTGTGGCTTCAGGAAATCATTGGACACGAAAACACACACTATGCCAAGGTTCATGGACAGTCGAGCATGGAATATCAGTGGTTACTAGTTGCCGAAATAATTAGATTAGAAATAAACAATAAGATTGAATAACTGATTACATCGGTCATCTACCGTCAACTGTCATAAAAAGGCGTAATATATATTTCCGTATCACTCGTAACCTCGCATGTGACGATAAGGTCACCTATAAGATGCAATCGATTTCTTTCACTACTGCTGTGCTATCGCTCCATACTTCAGTTTTTACATGTTTTATGACGTCACCAGAAAGTTTTTCCAGGTCGGTGTTTGATGTTTGGGGTAATAAGAGTCGCAGTTCAGAGAGAGACCGCCCTATTAGTCCTCTCCCACGACGAGCATCGGTGCATCGAGAATCCCGCTTACACACCACCAGCCCACCTCGGTCTCACAGTTCCCCGGGGACCATATCGCTTTCCCGCACGATATAATCTCGGTTCCCCGAGGGACCACCCGGGCCTAAGCCCGTGACAGGCTGCAGGGGACGGCAGCTTATGGACAGGCATGTCCCCGGGGTGGGTCCAACCTCCCCCATGTCCGTCCTGGACCCCCGGGTCGGCCGGCCCCTCCCACTGTCACAGCCTGCCGTAACAGGTCTAATAGCATGCCTTCTTTACCCCTCTGAGGCATGCAATAATCAACCACAGAAAAACCAATAGAAATACAACAAATAATAAATTATCCCTTTACCCAGCCTGTACCTCCCACGCCTTACCAGCACCATACGGGCCCACTTGCCTGGTCGCTCCCAACTCCCATCCATTACAACATTACAAGATAAATAAACTTTATGTGCCCATGAAGCCACCGCCCATTGTGGGGGGCTCCACGCACTTCGAAGGGCCCCGCCACTTTTCAAAACTTGTGCAACTTGGCAGTATAGAGCCTTGGACGCATGGATAGGGTATTGCTGGTCATTCGGAACAAACTTTGCCTGATTTATTTGTTCCGAGTGATGCCTGGCTTATTTGTTCCGACTGACGAACGAGATGCATGCCTAGCATGCAAGCCAAGGCTCTATACTGCAGAAGCACCATTTTTGAAAAGAGGACGGGGCCTCCTCGGATGGTGCCTCCCACAGTGGGCGGCGCTTCATGGCACTCCAAAAATGCGAAGTTTTAAAAAAAATATAAAAATTCCGCAAAAAGCAAGTGGGCGTGGCCAAGGAGGCGCAACTAAATCGCTGGTGCATAAATGAGTACGGTACGAGTATCTTTTTTTGTGCAAAGAGTGGACGTGAAATTAAAAAGTTGAAAAGCCACGAAATCTCGAAGCTAGCAACAAACCCTTTAGAATGGGCAGAGTCTACCATTGAAAATCTAGTCCGCGATCACAAGTAGGCGTGACCGTCGGGGAGGGGCTCGCAGTGGTCTCTGACGTGGTCAGGCAGGCGAACGGCGAACTGCCCGGTCTAAAGAGAGTGGTGAATTTGATTTGAAAAGTGGTGAACTTGGTTTGAAAAGTGGTGAATTCAAAGTGAAAATGGTATAATATATATACATTATGACCAAGACTGCTTCTCACTGGAATTGACCTGACTCGAAATAAAGTCCGAAAATGTCACGAACTTCCGGGTTGGTCTAGTGCATGTCCCGAAGTTGTTTTAGTACGACGAATATATTTCAACATGTTTTTTTTACGTTTTCACGAATTATGGTGATTCACCTCGAATGATGGTTTTTCTCCACGGAAATTATCATGAATGATGACATTCTCACGGGCTAATGTATTCAGCTCCTTCCATAATACTCGTTACCTATCCACAGGCAATTAGTGGCATGCCTGCTTCTGGTATCTTCGCCTTCTTGTTATTCTTCATGTTTTTCTTATTAGGAATCAGCAGCCATTTCGGTACGTTTGTTGGTTCTTCGATTGTACCGAACTTAATTCAATTCAATTTGTTAAGGGCTGACTCAGACTTTCATCACCACACTTGCTAGTCAATTTCCGGCTCTACAGAAATGGAAAGGACTCGTGGTCGGAGGGTTCTGTCTGTTTTCACTGCTGGATGAACTGATAATGTGTTGGCAGGTAGCGATGAATGGCTGTTATAAGGGTAATCGAGGCACTCTTAGTGAGTCGGGGTGCTATGGTGGAGATCTTGAACGTCCGAGCTCTCGGAAGCGCTATGCCTTTCAGCAGCGTGATGTCAGAGGTTGGAGACGTGGGATGCGCACCAAAAAATTGCCCGTTACTTCTGAAGCACGGCATCCTACGGTTTCTCAGCTAGTTGACATGACAATAAGTTTAGAAAAACAGGCGGACCACAGTGCCACGAGAACTGGGCGTGAAATCAGATCCATCGTTTTCGTGAACGGATACAATTCAACTCTCGCTACTCTCACTCACTCAGTTTTACACGCAGTTCCGGGTACAGCATCCTGTCTGTTTTCCTGAACTTATAACCAGCGACCCCTCGATGAAAATGTTCCACTTTTTTACGATGTCTCGAATACTCTGGGAATGCCCCACAGATTATTTCGTCTTGCTCCACCCATATCGGCGCGGGCCGCGCCCACAATGTGTATTGTCATATTTCTCAATCGGCGAGCCCTCACTGACCTTAATCAGCTTTTTCTGAAGTCTCTGGAGTGTACTGGAGCGAAGTAGATATATTGAAGTGAGTTCATTATGACTGAGCTCACCCCCCGCCCACTGGGCGGTTCTCAACAGACCGCTTTCATTCCCAGCTTTCGCTAGATGTTTCCTTTCTGCATCGACTTTTTGCGATGCCTAAACCCTCTTGGAAATCGGAATTTCCAGGCAGATAAGAAAACAAACAAACAAACAAACAAACAAAGAAACACTTAACACTCAGACATAGCAAATTGTAATGGGTGATTGTTCGAGGAACAGTAAGACAGGGAGAGCTGACACACTAAAGCGCCACCACGTCAAGTGGGATGGATAGTGGTGCGAATGGTGCGCCGCTTACAACACCTCTTGTGCTGGCACTAACGGTATACGGTCCACCGGACCACTCAACTTACGCAGTTATATCCTTATTCCAAGCCAAAATGGTTGTCTATTTAGTTTGGCATCTACTGGTTCCATCTCTTCTTCAACACAATTGGTGGAACTGCGGTACTCAGCCCCTGTTTCGTGGAAGTTTTCTTCATCGTATTCGCTTATGGTGACCCAATATTAAATCTATAGTATCTCATGTAGTTCGATATTTGTCTCAGTTAATTTCTCAGGCATAGAAACGCTACGCCGTGACATACAAGAGAACATTGGAATCCCTACTGGGAGCAAAGTTCGAATCTTTGGCGCTTCAGAATATCTCATATCAACCTGCTGGACCGTTTTCGCGCCACTCATACTTCTGGTATCACGCTCTTTGAGTCGCTGTTCGCCTCGGAAGGGGCCACTCTACAGCACGGGTGAGCCACGTCGTGTCTGCGTGTCTGCGCTCTCTCAAGCAGTAGACGTTCTGCCACGGTCATTCTACGCTGAAATCTGACCTGGCTTGTTTTTATCCATTGTTTTGTTTTGCCGCAGCTACATGAAGTGACTGCCGCGCCGGGGTGGCCTTCACGAGGCCTACGGCTCCTCTCAGGAACTTGTACTATTTTTTAAAAGGCAATTGTTCTGGACAATCGTTGTATTTGGGATGGTGGCCGATCTCAGAAGCTTACGTGGTAAAGACAGCAATCTTCTTCTTACGTATTCCTCCACTATTTTTGATACCTTGCTTCGCCGTGGTCAACATCCGGTATTCTGTAAAGAAGGGAGAGGTAAAACGTCGTTGTGGATGACGTTTATGGGGTGAGAAGGTCATTTCTGTCGTCCAGAGCTGGAAGAAGGCTTTAAAAATTGAACGGCACAAATCGGCTTCCTTTCAATCACCAGAAGAAGTCAAGGTGACTCTTCGACTTTGAATTACTTCCATCCGTTACTTCCAGATGATGGAAACTTGAAGGCAGTTGGCACGATGAATCCCTAAGAAGAGTAAATTAGTACGCTCGGCAGGACGGAATTCCGTGCCCCTGAGCAGGCGCTGCGTAGTGCCTTCTGCCGCCTTGGCCTAGTGGTAACTGTCTTGCTTTGAAGCTGAATACTCATGTGTCTGCATATCATTGACGCGAGAATTTTTGCTTCCTCTCATATAAGAGCTTTTACTCTAATTTCTGAATCCTCAGAGTTTACGGCATGGCAAAGCAAGCAGGTCAAGTAGATCAACTACACGACGTAGATCGAGTATGGATTTGGTCACTTTCTGCCCTCTCTGAACTTACTACCCATCCGACGATACGATTTTTTGGCCAGAATCTCAATTCGGCTAGTTCAATTGATGAGCACAGCGACTACGAGCGAGTTACAAGCAATTTGTTGCCAAACGGATGTTATGTTTTGTTCAGGGGGTTAAAATACCTCCAGGAATGAGTTTGTCGCCAAAACCTTGAATTGTCGGATGGGTAGTAAGTTCGAAGAGAGCAAATAGTGACCGATTCCATACTAGATTGATTACATCATATTACCTGGCCGAAATGCCTACCTTGGACACATGAGGTGCCACATTGTTCAGGTTTTCCGGTTCTCCTCGAATTTACTGAGTTTCCTGTTTCAGGCGAACTACATACCCCCCCCCCTTACCCTCGCGCTCGTTATATATAGTAGGATACTTCCGCACTGTCCCCTATTACATATTGTGCCCATTGTCCTAATGTAACGCTAAAATCTATCCTTTTGTCCATCCTTTTCTCGCGGCTGGCACCAAAATCTTCATAACCCTCACACGAAAATTCAGCAGCTTTTAAGAGTAGCCTTCGAAGCATCCTACCCTGCAGGGTTTTTTCTGGGATTCCCTCCCGCATTCGGCAGTCTGACTTTCCTAATGGTCCTCTTTCAAGTTGTTGATGGAAGATAGTCATGGTCATACATAGTGATAAAGTTAGCTGCTGCTTTTCATTGCAACTGAGTAAACAACCGTCATGCATCTGAACTCCAGTTGCTTTAGCGGCCGTACATGATGTCAATAACGATAAAGCCTAGGAGTGAGTTGTGTGCGAACTATGTGGTTGTGAGCGTGAGCGGTGTTGCTGATTTCCGCATGATGACTTTCATTTCTTGTCAGTCACTTCGTGTCACCCATTCAGAGGGTGTCCGCCCCTCCCCCTAACCTCTTTCTGAAACCAAGGTCCCACAGACCCTGCAACCCGGCTTACAAATTTAGTGACTCTTCGCATCTGAGGTTCCTTATCAAATCTTATCATATGTCAAATTCTGTCACCCACCCCGTCCCTCCTGGTATACCATCTCGGAACCATGGTCTCAATTCACTGCAGCCGATAAGGAATTTGGTGACCCTCCGCGTCTAAAGCCCCCTTATCGAATCTTATCAGGTGTTATCAGCTTCTGTCACACACCAGTTATGTCCACTTCCCTTCCCCCACACCACTTCTCGAAATCAATGTCCCATGGTTGCTGCAACCTGCGCTAAGAATTTGGTGACACCCACGTCTTGGGTCCCTTATCGGATCTTATCAGATATTATCAGCTCCTGTCAACCCCACTCTACGGCATATCAGTTCTTGAAATCACGGTCCCGCAGCTGCTGCAACTCGCGGTACGATTTCGGTCACCTTCCCCTTCTGAGGCTCCTTCTCGAATCTTATCAAGTGTTATCACTCCTGTCACCCACCAAAAGTGTTCCCGTCGTGTCCTGTATATCACTTCGTGGAACTGTCATCCTATCTTTTCTGTCGACGCTCGCTATGAATTTCGTGACAGACAGACAGATGCACACACATGAGCAGCAATACTTACCGAATTATATATAGTAGGATGTTTATTTATTTATTTATTTGTCATGCACGCATAGGTGCGCTAAGCCGTACAAGCGATAGGCTTAGAGTAATAGAAACCAAAAATACGATTACCATAAAAAAATTCGGTAACACAAAGCAACCGAGGAAAGACTTCACTAATTACTGGATTCAGAAATCCTGAATGCTTAGCAAGGTCATCAGATCGACCTTCTTTAGTCTCTTTCTGAACGTGTAGGTGTTAGGCGCCCCAGCAGGTCTGATGGACGTAATTGGAGATACCTCGCTCCACGGAAAACAGTGAGTTGAAAACTCTGGTTCGGTGGCCATTGCACAGTTTAGGACATTGTAAGGACAACGAGGAGGTGCGACCATTCGTCGGTCTGAACACCAGTATTTACTGGGTTTCAACCAGCCTCTCCTTTCAGTATTTGAAACAAAACATAAATCATTGAACACCCTTCTATACATCAGTGAATTTGAGGTTGAAAATGTGTAGGGCCGTCCTGATAGCTAGGCATAGTATAGCGGATGACTCAGGATCGGGAAAACAACGATACATCAAAACTCTCGTAAAAGTTTGCTGCACCTTTTCGATTTTCGCCTGGAGCTTCTCAGTATGAGGGCTCCATATTTGCGAACCGTATTCGAGAATGGGTATGACGTATGCTTTATAAAGCTTCAGTAAAACTGAAGAGTCGTTTCTCGGATATTTCTCAGGATAGCAAAGAGGGTCACGAGAGCTTTGCGAACAGTAGTATCTATGTGATGCGAGAAATCCAAAGTGGAATTTACGAGCATCCCAAGATCGCGAACTTCTCTCAAAACACTTATGGGGATGCCGTCGACGGTGTACGGTACAACTATTGCTTTTCCTATGTGAAGTACAGAAGTTTTCTTAATATTGACTGATATACCCCAAGCAGTAGCCCACCCCATCATGTTACATACAGATTGGGTTAACGCTCGGTGAACGCAGTCATGGTTATAATTGTCATAGACACCATATATTTTGATGTCATCGGCGTACATTTCAACGCTGACCAATGGGTGAGTGTTTAGGCAGGCTAGAAGGTCGTAGGTGTACATCAGAAACAGCAGAGGAGACAAGACACCACCCTGTGGAACTCCACTAGTGCAGGGGAAACTCTGTGAAAAGTATCACCCACTTTGACAAACGTGTCTATTCTTCAGATAACAGCTGACCCAGCTAAGGATGGGGCCTTCGATATGGGCCGGATATGTAGTTTTACCACCATGGAAGTGTCTCAGTAAGTTTTTTCGAGTCAGGAAAGCTAAGCAGTGGGACTGTAGTAGCTAGCTCTGGCCCATAATTGTATCTTTGCTATGGGTCCAAAACGTAGGAGAAGTTTCAACAATCTCAATTATCAGTGAGGTCGATGGGGCGTCGTAATAGACCTCTGGAGGGTAGGGACAGGGAAGCTTCTCATGAAAACGCAGTACTAAGAGTATAGCAGGGTGTAGTAGTGTAGTGACGAGTAGCGCTACTTTTCACATATGCGCTTTGGGGTTAAATGCCGAATCTGTCCTCGCCCGAGCCAACAGAGCTCTCCATTCTTCCGAGTTGGTTAAAGGCAGCGCCCACGTTCATTTGGTGCTCCCGCCCCCTCTCTTGATATCATAACCCTCCCTATGAGGATGCAGTATGAACTAGTTTTGGATCTCAAATAGGCGAGTGGATAGCACCGTTCGCTAATGAAGAGTTGGCCGCCCTGCCCACCTAGCCAGCTTAGGGTCTATATGGGGCATTTTCCACAATTTTTTTTTCTGCTTTTCTCTTCACTACTGGATCACGTACTATATGAGCTCCATAACACATTATTCTTGGAAACGGGCTCAGACTTTAAAGGCTAGGCCAAAGCAGTTATGGCAAACAGCTGGGCGGGGCGGCACCTTCTTCACAAGCGGGGTGACGCGACCCTCTCGTATTTTTAAGTTGCCAAATAAGTACATCCACCCTTGTCGACAAAGCTGCGATATCTAACGAGGGCGTAGGAACATCGAATTAACGCGGGCGCTGCCTTTAACTGGTACTTGACCCGAATGGAGTAGACAAATATCATTGTGTACATCAGTTAACAGTTGGCCCCGCGAGCCATTGTTCATGCACTGCGGACACTGGGGCGTATTTAGGTGGCCAGCTTTGGCGCGGAACCATGGTGTTTTCCTCCAATTGTTATCTCTCCGCCATCTGCAAGGACAAGACTGAATGCAGAATTATCAGCTTGTCCGGAAAGTTCTCAGCGTTTTGAGTGTTTCACTTCAAACGATCATAACTTTCTTAATACTCATCGGATTCAATCGAAATAGGCACCGTTCGAATCAGCACACTTTTCCAATGTGACACCAGTCGAGAAATCCCATCAAAAGAAAAAAACTGGGTGGTCGAGAATCCACGAAATCCACGAAGGCTTTTTTGCCTGGTCCTGATTGATGAAGTATTTTCCAGCAAGGAAGT